TATTGTTTCTAGCTGCCCTCAAAATCAAGAACAAAATGTAAAAACTTGTACTGATTCATCATTTCACAGTTACTTTCACAACAGTAAGATCCAAGACTATTTTAAAATCAGAAGCTTTGACCTTTTAATACAGAATAATGGCAAAGGTGTGTAATACAGATGTGGAACTTATACAGGACTCCAGTTTGCGACATTAAAAGCAGTACTACCGAGAAGGTATGCACTAAGGAAAACATAAAATGATAAGCTGTCATTTTAAATTAGAAATTTGGAAGGGAAGGTGTTATTTTTTGGCATTCTAAATATTGTCTAATATTGGGCATAATAGCGGCTGTGCTGCTCCTTGCTTTTCTTTTTTAGTTTTTCATAATGGAGTTGTTTTCTCAAATGGAAAGTAGTTGGGTTTATTAACTACAATTTATTTCATACACATACATTTCATAAAACAAAGAATCAATATTGCTCCTTCTTCAGCCTTCTCTTCTCCCAGGCGTCCTTTTGAGAAACTTATCTTTTATCAATATTTTCTCAGGTCCTTGAATTTGCTTTCTTGGAGATAGTTATAGTTGTACAATTAGAATTACTGAGACTGTATCTGGACTGTCTGCAATAGTAGAAAATGTGTGGAGCATCCTCATTTCTTGCAGTGTATGTGCTAGTCTTTATTCGTGCAATTGAAAAACCTTAGAAGTTGGTTTCAAAAGATTTATCTTCTCAAGAAAAGCAATCACTCTTCATTTGCTTTTTATTTTAAGCCAAACACTGAAGTTGCCCTATGTTGTTTCATAAATAAGCTTTTATTATCAGCAACATGTTATTTCGTGTAGGCACAGTTCCACTCTGACAGATGGGCATAGTGTAGGCATGCCAGCCAACCATTCTACACATCACCTAACAGAGTATGAAGGGAAGAATTTTTGTCCAGGATTGCCACTGTGGCATTCAGTGCGTGTAAGGCTTAAAGTTCAGGAAATGCGCTTGGAGTGGTCCATCTCATAGGATGACCAAAAATTTAAAAATAGCCTGGGTTTTAGGTTCTGCTGGGTTTGTACTGGGAAAAGTGACCAGTTGCAATAAGGCTTCTGTTTCTTTTTGGCCATCTGCTAAAGTCATCTAATGGGCTCAGCCAAAAGAATTCTGCCATGGACACACATTTCTCCTGATTAATTACCTAAGTGTGGAAGCAGAAGCAGTGTGTAATTTCTCTTGTAAGAAAGCTGTTGTTTGTGACTGTGTGCATATCTCTTTGGATATAGAATAGGAGGATGAGGATCTACAGATGTAGGATGAAATCCTAGTGTGAAAATACAACTTAAAATAGAAAATTTTGAGTAAGAGTAAATCAGCCTTCTGCGACTGAAGATTTGGATAGTGAAATGCAGAATATTTTTGCAGGCTTTCAGAAATGCAAATCAGCTATTGTTTGATTATTGGGGTTTGGAGTTTTGGAGGTTTTTTTATTTTTTAAACAAATTGGCTTAATGTGCTTGTGCTTGATTTTATAAAGTAGCCAAGCACTGCAGGCGTTTGGCAAATATACTTCCTTGAACAAATGTTTTTTTGTGTTACACTAGTCAATCTTTGTCTGTCATTTTTACCTTCGTTAGTGTTTTTGCATAGCTTCAATGTTTTAATCTTTTATTTCAAGTCTAACTCGGCCTTTAAATACCAACGGATTTTGCTAACTTTCCTGGAAGTTATGCTGATACAATTCATTCATGCTTTTTGGGGAACTTGGTTTCAGTTGAAAAATTTCTAAATTTTGGAAATAATGGTTGCATGGCACTGTCATTTATAAGATGGCACAGTATGTGAAAGAACAGGTGTGAAAAATAGAGTGAATAAAATTGCTTTTGAAATATAAATGGACATTTCATGGGCTTCTGTTAGGAGAATGTCTTTTCTAAACTGCACTATATTTAATTTTTTTTCAGCTGAATGTTTTCCTTCTGAAATGAAATTACATAATAATGTTTAACTAACACTTCTTTACATGCCTAGTTTTAAATTAAAATTAATAATTAAGCTTAATATGAAATTATAAGATTTGATTTAATGCTTTCTTCCAGTACCTGAACTAGTGTTCACTGCATTAGAAGGTGCTGTCGTCATTGAGAAGCTTTGTTCTTTTAACAAAAGGTACCAAAAATAAATTCAGTTGGGGTCATAGTGGTTTAGTTTAATACTGTTATGATAATAAGTACTATAATTACTTTCAGATGGTTCTCTCTCCCCAGAGGATGAGATTTTTAGTTTTGATGCCTGCTTAAAGCATTAGAATGACAGTAAAATTAATGTCATAACCTTTACAACCTATTTATCGTTTTCTGTGTAGTATCCTAAAGGATTTTGTATAACATCTAAAATAAACGTCTCAGTATGGACAAGCATCAAATTAGGTTAATTGGGTTCACCTGATATTCAGATTCAGTCTGTCTATCAGGACACCAATTTCATATAAAAGACCTGTGGGTATCTTTATGTGAAAATTGCTTTTAAATTGTTACATGTATATGCTCTGCTTCCTTTGGTTGTTAAAGACCAATTTACAGTGTAGTTTCTTTCCAGTTTATTTGATATTTTTGCTTCTTTTGGCTGAGAATTCATTTGTCCTTTCATTCTGTGGTAACATAAGGAGTAGCGTAGGTATGATAGAGCTTATTTTGTGGCATTAAGATAAATTTTGCTTTTTAATTCTGTCCAACTTCAACTACACTTCACTTCAAATTCTCATAATAGATTTCTTTTCACCTCTGAGCAGTCAGCAGCAGATTTCAAGAGAACTATTTGAGTTCTGGAGTACTGCGATGTGAATTATTTTATTTATTGTCCTATGGTACAGTTACAAACTGAGCAAAACAGATTTTAAGATTATATAGAATTTTGAAAGTTTTATCATTGGGATGGGCTCTCAGGTGGAGAAAAATTGATGATAATGCCAGATAGAAATAATCAATATCATCTTCTGTGTTTGGAAAGAACCGGATTTGGACTCAAATATAACCAAGGACGACTGTAAGCATGTTTGCCTCCTCAGTATTCAATAAAAACAATGGGACATCCTGAATTATTAGTGGTGTCCAACCTAAAATTTGTTCTGGATGTAAAAGTATAAAACAGGTACAAAAATTAGTTAATAATTTTATTTCTAAAGTTGTCTGTTTTTTGAACATCATGGTTTTTGTGGGAAGTAGTCATACCAAGTCAGATTTATAGTCAAAAAAAAAAAAAAAAAGTGCCGCTGAGGGCAGGCATAGGTAGGTGTATAGATGTTATATCCTTCAACTTCTCTACTGTGCATTGATTCAAAATTTCAGAACTTTTTGATAAGACTGCGGTTTATGTTTAGGACACAGGTCAAATGTATGTAGATACTACGTATCTGTTAAGCATGTTACAGCCTGGCTGAAAGATGTCAGAAACTGTCAATGAGCAAGGAAAATGAATCATTCTACTTGTAGTAAAGTTGTGGTGGGGCTGGTTCCAAGACTAGCACTAGGCAGTGGTCAAAAAGACAGTATCGCTGTTGATAAATTTGAAAATAGTGTAAAATGCAGACAGGACAGTCACACAAAGCTATGTGGTTTGCTTTGTAAACTGTGTTTGTATTCAAAGAAAACATGCTTTAATACAGTCATACATATAACAGCGGATAGAAAAATTTGAAGGGATAAGAAGAAGAATATCGCTCTGACTTCAAAATCTTGAGCTGTTCAGTTTTTCCTAAAAGGAAGGTTACTTGATTAAATATCTGCAAAAATAAAAGGCAGTGAAAGGTTCTTTGGTATAACAACAATAAAAAAATTATTCATGAATGGCTAGAAGATGAGAAGTTAACTTGAGAAATTACACTTTTTTTTTTTAATTGACAGTAGCTGATCAATGTACTAGTCTGTCAAATAAGCACTGGATTTTCTAGATCAAGACCATTATCTCACTGCAGTTAGGGTTAAATTCAAATCGGAGATGCCTGTACAAAATGTTTGGATTTGTATGGTCCAATTTTCTGTTAGGCTTAGTGAAACCTGGTGTTAGGGTTTGTGAATGCTTGGGGGAAGATGTGGAGCTTGTATTTCCACATGGTATTCTAAGAATTATTGATCTGTATTCTGAAGTCTGGTTTGCTTGCTGCAATTCTAACAGGGATTATTAACCATAAGCGGGGCATTCTTTTACATGATTTAATGCTCCCTACAACTGGGAGGGATCATGAAAACCTATAAAAATGTAACTTCAGAATAACAATTTTGAGAACCTTCATTTGAACATCATTTCTTACATTGTTTTTTACGAGAATATGCGTTTCTGTAACTACTTTAGTATGTTTTCAAATGTTGAAAATCCTAAAGTGGAAGAAAAACTTCTGAGTTTGGTTCTGTAAAAAGATCTTGTTGAGCAATACGGCCTGAAAGAAGGATGCCGTACACTGTGGATGACAAGTTGAAAATCCATGCTGGTTCCTAGAAGTATTTTGCCATTCCAAAATTACATCAGTGTGGTCTGTTCCATTCTTGTAGGTTAAGAGGGATTGTCTGTATGTTACCACTACATGAAACTGCGTTTAGATGAGCCGACCTACGTTTGTATACTGGGTCTGACAGATCAGAGGTTGACTGCTTAAGTACCACGGACAGAGGCTCTTTGAGGCAGCCTGGGGTCTGCTGATACACATCGGCAAACCTATGCCAGGAGGTGCTGGTTGACGTACAAGAGCTTCTTATTAGATATGGCTCTGCACAGAAGATACGGGTACCAAAGAGCCTCACCTGTTTGCTGTGTGAGAGGTCTCCTCACAGCAGCCACACTCAATTTTCTTTTATGCTTTGGTATTGAACTTCCTGGAAATGGAATTGGTTTTGCCTCTCTCATACTTTACTGCTGCCCACAGAACCATCTCCTTCCTGGAACCTCTCCACTGCTTTTTCAGAATCATAGAATACCAGGTTGGAAGGGACCTCGAGGATCATCTGGTCCAACCTTTCTAGCGCAATCTAGACGAGATGGCCCAGCACCATGTCCAGCTGTCTTCAACGTCAGGTTGGAAGGGACCTCGAGGATCATCTGGTCCAACCTTTCTAGCGCAATCTAGACGAGATGGCCCAGCACCATGTCCAGCTGAGTCTTCAACGTGCTCAGCGTAGCGGAGTCAGCCACTTCCCTGGGGAGATTATTCCAATGACTGACTGTTCTCATTGTGAAAAATTTTCCTCTCGTGTCCAATGGGAATCTCCCTGGGAGTAACTTGTACCCGTTACCCCTTGTCCTCACCATGTGACTCCTTGTAAAAAGGGAGTCTCCATCTTCTTTGTAGCTCCCCTTTAAGTACTGGCACATGGGGATGAGATGACCTCTAAGCCTCCTTTTCTGAAGGCTGAACAAGCCCAGCTCTCTCAGCCTATCCTCATACGGCAGGCTTCCCAGACCCTTGATCATCTTGGTGGCCCTTCTCTGGACCCCCTCCAGCGTGTCCACATCTTTTTTGTATAGCAGAGACCAGAACTGTACACAGTATTCCAGGTGTGGCCTGATAAGCGCCGAGTGGGATAATGACTTCTTTATCTCTGCTGGTGATGCCCTTTTTGATGCAACTGATGCAGTCAGTTGCATGATAGTAAAGAAACATATTCAAGACTTATTTTTCTGTTTGGTAATTGCATCAAAATTTGTCCTAACTATTTTTGTATTTATGGAAAACCAATCTTTTAGTACTTTATGTGCTCAGAAGGGGGCTCTTGAGTGCATGTCTGGAATGTTCTTTATGTAAGATTCTACCGGCTGTTAAGTTGGCTGGGAAAGTAAACAAACTCCACATCCGCACAGCTGGCTCTGCTCATGGGAAATGTTATAGATATGCAGTGGTATGAAAGCCTAGATCTAAGTAAACCCCCAAGTAGCTGGAGTTCTATCTGTGTTGGTCAGTGGACTTGTCTGTTACCGTCCCAAAGCCTCCAACTGCATCAGGAGAACAAGAGTTTTGTACCCTGTGTGACTTTTAACGTTAGTGGTTTTCAACTGAACCAAACTATTAGGCAGCCATTCCAAAAGCTAGACCATTTTATGATGAAAAAAATATAAGTGGATAATAACACAATTTTATATTGTCCTTATGTTATACTATGTCTTTCCGACTTGACTGTTGAATCACATTTGACCAAAGCTTAAGCAACACATTGCACTGGAAAGAAATGGCCAACTCTTAAGTTACTGGGTGGCCACTTGATGTAATGCTTTATGTCAAATGTTATGAATCAAATTTTGCGATAAGTACCCATGTCAAATTCAGGAGAGGCGGCAGTGTAAATGTTTGCTTCACAAATGCAAGCTAATATCTTCACTGTAGCATCCATGGAAGATTCTGCTTGTCAGTCAGTTATATGGGATCCATGCAGTCAGATGTTTGAAGGAAAATGATTGCTTACCCCTACATTGTCTGTGATTCTTCAGAATGCATTGTCACATTGGAGTTCATGACATGTCCTCTTCTCTGGCTTTAATGGGGGTTTTCAATTACAAGAAGCCTAACTTAGTTGTACCCAGTGTTGAAATATGGAGAGTGCATAGAAGGGTATGTGTGATCCAGAGAAATACTTGGTTTAAAACTCTGGTGGTGTTTTGCGTGAAGTATGGGCATACTAGGATCCATTCTGAAATACAATTTCGGAAAACTATTGCCATTGTCCTTTTTTTTTTTTTTTTTAGTTTATGAACAATTATCAGAACTTCTAAGTATCTGTATTTTTTTCTTTCCAGGAACGTTGTCGTAACTATTAAAGGGCATAATGCAGAATCCTTTAACTTTTTCTGCAGGTATAGTATACTTTCTGTACTTTTTTTGAGAAATTAGATGCTTGTGATTCAAAATCTGGAAGAAATATCGTCATCATTAGTAAATCACTGTATAACTCATGTCTACTATTCTACCCTAATATGGTAAAAAAAAAAAAAGAAGCCATATTGCAGCATTTATTACTTTAAACAATTGCAATAGCTAAGATTGTTTTCTTCTTTAAGACATTGCTAATTACTGTTACCACCTATTGTTGAAATTTGAAATATATACATCTGCTTCTTGTTTGATTCAGCAGAATTAAGTGTTCAGGGTTTATTACAATTTTTTTATCCTCATATATTTGAAAGTCATTGTCATATTTGACCCCCATATAACAGGGGGTCAAATCTCTTTGCAAGTTATGCTACAAGACTAGCACAAACAAGAAAATATTTTCTAAATATGAACTTAGATTTTTAGATTTTAAGTGCCTTTTCTCCAGCATTCCTATCCTTACTGTCATTTTTTGTGTTTAACTATATTTTTTCTATGTTTTGTCTCTTCAGAAGTCATCTTTTGTTGATTTAGTTTTCAGTATGGTTAGCGTCTTGGATTTTTTTCTCCATTATTAGTAAGGGTATTTGTGCTGCAACTGTGTATTCCCAGCCCTCTAAATGTGCAGCCATAACTTCAATTTCCTTTACCTTTTGATCTGTGTCACAATGCTAATGTTTAAATATGATTTTTAACATGAATGTAATTTTAATGATACTTCTTAAATGTGAGTGAATGTTTGATGGATATGACATAAGCTCTAATGGACCTTTCAGAACCATTGCAGGTTGTCAGCTAAGTTTCCATTGTTAGTACTGATGTTAATTAAGAAAAGCACTATATATTACCTAACTTGAAGCCTTGAGCTTTTAATGTCATGTAAGTTTATACTTCACCTGTTTTGTGAAGACTGAGTGTTTTTATGATACTGTAATAATTCTGAGGAAACTGTTCCAGGAGGATGCCATTCAAATTGGTCTTAGGTGATGAGTTCTGTGTCTAATGGGGCTATTCTTTCAAGGGAGACAGTACTTGCTGTTGTGTAAAGCTGTCTACCCTGCAGTGTGCTCTATGTCCATATGCTTATGACTGAAATACTTAATTCTAATACTTAAAAGCCTTAATTTAATTTTTCCTTTAAATAACAGGAATTTGACCACTGTTGTAGTCAAAGTGAATGTGTTAGCTTTATGTTAAAGCTATTTCTGAATAATAGGAGAATATAGACTGTGAAGCTATTTGCAAACTTGAAACTAATGAATCATTTGCTCTGAGATTTTTTGAAGACTTTTTTTTTTTTCTCTAAACAAAAATCCATTCCAGTCAGTATCCTGTTACCAGCTTACACCCAGAGTGAATTATAAGAGCCATGTTGTAAACTTTGGAAATGAGGGTTCATGTTAGAAATCATAATCAGATCCTGACCAAGAGCTATATCAGTGTGAAATCACGATATTCTACAAATACACTAGTTTCAGTGTAGGTTTCTTGTATGCTTTTACTATCACTTATTTTTGTCCTCATATCAAGCATCACTTTTTGTTTCTTAAATGTGTTACGGCACCTGGAAAATGTTGAGGCTATTAGCATTTTATAATGATTTATGTACAGCTATAACATTGGTACATTTCTTACAAATAAAAGGTTCGAAAATAAATGGTGTTGGAAGTAGAACCTATCCATCAGCTAGATTCAGTATAGCATTTTTGTCAGTCTTTCTATACTTTGAAAGTGCTTGTTATTTTTCAGTTGAGTATGGAAGTAATGGTTAGTGCAAGTTCTTTGAGTGACAACATAAACCCTTCACTGCTACCATTTGTCATGTAATAGCAGAAGTTCTGTAATTTGATACGTACTCCTTCAGGGCATCTGTATTTTTCTCAATTTAAAATGTTTTATAAGAAGGGTGATTATCACTTATATAACAAGCAATTGTAACTCCATGTTCAAACAGATGCACTTTTCTGAGTAATGATAAATATTTAACTTGTAAGACCTTAATTTTTTCCTAGGAATTATGAAATTATTGAAGCATCATATTCTGTCATTCACACTCATGTTAATATTTGCTGTTGAGCTAGCACTGGGGTTTTTTTATAGTGCTCCATAATGACATAAAATACCAGTGTGCCTTAGAGAACTGAAATACCTTTGGATGAGTGGCACTGTCAGATTTATAAAACATTTTTGTTAAATGAGTCTAACATTAAAAAAACACTGTTATCTTACACAACTATTGTGCAAAATATAAGGCTGTCCTGGTTTATCTAGGAATTTATATAATACTTTTTTGTCTTTTTTAAATATACATTGGAAAAGTATATCACAGGCTGAAACCATAGTTTTGCTCCTTGGGTATGTTTATTTTAATTTTTTAAAAAAACGTAGTTTTTTTAAAAAGTCATTGTATAGGTTAGTACATTTTGTATCCATGTTAGTATGGTCATTTGATGCTGGGAGATCTCAAACTTCAATTAGCCATGTAAATGTGTTTCTTAGCATCAACTCTCACTTTGCTGGAACCCCTGCTGCCTTTATATCATTAACATAAATGCAGGTGCAAATAGCATTTATGTACTTTGATAGAAAGCAGTTGGAGACATTTCACTGTGGGACACGACACTTTCAGATTGTGTACATCTGTTCAAATAATGTACCCAAGCCAGTGACATGAATGCAAGGATAAAAACATCTGCCCCTGAGACCGTTTGCCATGCAGCAGATGCTTACATCTTTATTTATGCAGATGGTTTGTGTGATGAGCTGAGCAATGATGAAAGCAAGAAAGTTTGACAAAGATTTCAGGGTATTGCTTGGGATGGGAAAATAGGTTGGTAACAGTGCTTCGTTTTCACATGTCTACCAGAAGAAGAACATCTGTTGTAAATACTGATGTTTTTAGTAACATGGACGTGTTATTTGGGACATTAACTAGATTAACACAAAATCAGTAATGGATTTAAAAAAAAAAATCTCTTGCACAAAAATTGTACTGCAGTTATAGAAGATACTAAATAGTTTAGTAGAAGCAATTACTTTTAACAAGAAGGCTCAGCTGCTTTGCCTCAAGGTGCTCTCAGATTTATACAAAACATTGAATTGGCTGAAGAGTTTGCAAAGGTAGGATGTTTTGAAATAATAACATAACTCGTCGTGGAGGTGTTCAGAGATGGTGTGCGGTGCTGTAAAAGATGGCATGACTTTGGTGATTTTT